TTAATAGTTTCCGTGTAAGTGTCCTTCGAACAATTGCCGTCGTAATACGACTATATAGTAATATTACTATATGCGATAATTACTAATAATAACGCTGCATATGTAGTGCCATAGAAGTTGGACTATGGTTTAAGCTAGTGAACGAACTGCTACAGCAAAATGATTTCCTAAAATATGGGGAATCCGCATTTTTTTTATAACATCAAGTGACGGGACGAACAAGTCATGCGGCTGGTGGTCAGCAACACGCCTCTCCACAATATTTGCAGTGCCAATTAGAGCTTTAAATAGCAAAGATCTTAAGGTCACTGCCACTGCGTGTGTTACCTGAGACGTAAGTTGACAAGTCCCATGCGCCTGTAATTTCACCAGGCTCACATTACTGCTTGGCGGCAAAAATAGGTAAGGTGGCAGTACTTGCCTGGACGAACTCTACTGCTACTAATGCCTTCAGTAATTCGTTCGTTTTGGCATTTGATAGTTTTAATTTTTGCGATTATATTGGTTGGAAACATATTTCGGAACAAAATAACTTTGAAAATATGTAATCGTAATCAATCACACGGGTGGCCGGCAAGGGATTCCTTTTTAATTATTAACCTCTCAGGGCTACTCCGCAGACCTAATTCGTAAATTAAAATGTGAATAATATATACGATGACTCAATCCAATGGCGCAATGCCGTAGAATCGTGAACACCACTCCACATTAGAACTTACGGGCGGTGACAAAACATTATTATACGTGTTACGAAAAAATACTTGTCAACGCAATGCAGCATAAACTTTTGATATTAATCTGTAACATTATGGCAGCACATAGCCTGACATGTGACGAAATTTTGGAATTACCCTCTAATAAAAAGTTGACATTGCAAGAACTACAGACGGTACAACCGAAAGATATCGTGCAGTGTTTAGCCCACCTGGGCAAAGAAGAGCTGGGGACGGCGGAGGCCGACTTCATTTGGCGCTGTATAATAAATTTTTATGACGGTATCCCAAATATTCCAGAAAGTGTGCTTATGTTATTGCATTGGGTGACTCCTGCTATATCACCAGAGGAATATGCCAATATTACACTCAGCAGCATAGACGTCATACAAAACTTTGGGTTAAATTATAATTTAAACGACGCGCAGCTGGCAGCTATCGCAGATCGTGTACGCAAGGAGTTTGCCGGAAAAGAACCGGAAGACTATACATATTATGATTTAACAGCACTAAGACAGATTCTGTGTGCCTTCAACAGGAGTGAAATAACAAGAATTCAACCCTCTGCATATAGAGAAAGTGCTTTGATAATCGGAAAATTACAACGGTGTGGGTCAGAAGTCATGACAGGTTTTGCTTCTCTTGCCGTACAAAAAAGAGCATTCGGTTCACCAGACACGTGGTTGGAGGGAACAGTGGACGTCATGGGCGTGGTCGCAGAATACTTGCCTCAAGAATTAACAAAACGTTATAAACTAAAAAGCGTTAAATATAATTAGCACATAATAAGAGCTTAGCGTTAGACAGATTCGTAAAATAGAAGTTTCACCACCATGATATTCAATTATTTTTTTGTGAAATTACTCCACTAGTTTGTTATAATTATAAATACAAAGATCGAACATAGAAAAAATTCCTTCTAACTAATTCTTTTTAATGCGAAAGCTTCTAAAATGCTTCACTTGTGATGTGTAGTGTGATTATAGTAACTACCACCGAATACCGGCGTAAGCCTAGGACACGCAGCAATCTTGGTGTTGTAATAAAACTTTTGTCTAGTTTAATGTGAAATTCAGATTATAAGTACTGTCAACTAATTTGTTACAAGTGAACTAAAGTCTAATATATTAGGGGTTAAAGTATGAAATTGCCGTTTTATTGCAATAGGT